ATTCAGTGCTGTTAGTCCACTGACGTCTTTCTAGTCTGTGATTACCAAAGTTTAATGTTATTTAATGTTTATTTGTTCTCTTAACACATTTGCTGTAGTGAAGAGGCTATGGTGGCTCTGTGTCAAAAACTCTCATGTGAAGTTAAATCGCTTAACATATATTTGAACTATAAAAGAAATATCTTTTTCTATATAAAAAAACAACAATACTTAATATTATTATTATTATTATTATTTCACCCAAGTCTATTTTTTGTTATTGTCCATGCTGCAAAATTTGGGTAATTAGAAAATGTTACTCTCACATAATATATAACCTGACCTTTTGTTGCCACACTAAAAATGTCTAATACTTGATACTGATTTTAAGACAGTCACGATGATTAAAAGCAAAGAATGCCATTTTCAACACAAAATAATGCTTTCTTGTCATCATGTGATCTTACTATCAACTAACAAAGATCAGAACCTAAAACTATTCAGGAGCATTGGACCTTTCAGTATTGATTCTTGCACAAATTAAAATCTAGTTTTGATATAAGTTTTAATATTGCTTAGTATGTGGATATAAATTATTTCGAAAACCCTAAAATTATTTTGACAACCCTTGAAGCCTTGATTTGAATCCTAATTTGAATGCTTCTTGTTATGGTACCACCAGCACCACAACAAATCACCTACCTACAAAGAGTGCACTGAGAATGACAGTCCTGATCCCCAGCTGCACAGCCTGCCCCTGCATCTGCACTTAACTCTGACAGAGGGAAAAGTCTAAAGAAAAGAAGAAACTGTTTTGGCAGGAGTGACGAAGCTCAATGGAACAAAAAACAAGGAGAGAAACAGAGATTTTAAGAGAGGCAGAAGTAGTAATGAGATTAAGTTTTCCTAAAACGAGATTTGTGCAAAAACAGCAGCCATAGCAAGTCTACATCTGTGTGGCATTAAACAACAGGCAGACTGCTGACAGTGGTGAATAGCATCAGAACATCATGTTGGAGTTGTGAGGGAAGAATGTGCAAAACAACACAAGAAATGCTCTCTGAGAAGAACTATCCACTAAAAAGACTAGATTAAATAAGGGTGGATTTTAATTTGTATTTATATTATAATGTATTTGTATAATTCAGATCCACATGATGATTTTTAGAATCTAAATAGCAAACTGCACTTGATGGGAAAGTAGAACAAGGTTTAAATAATCTATTTTAATAAGGATTTTTAAATTACCGTAGTTTACTGCTCTTCAGCAGGTGCACAGTCAATTGAAAACAGTTACTATAGACAAGCACACATATAGGACAGATATTGAGATGGCTGTTTAAGAATGAGGAGAAATGCTGATGAGGTTGCCGTGACTTCACTAACCAAACCAAGCTTCTTTGAGTTAGTTTTCCCACACTTCCTTGTTCGTCACTGGGAGTATGCGAAGAATGTCCTTCAGATCAACACCACGGCTCTAAAAGGCAACTCTGACCTTTGACCTCCATGACTTAAGAAGGGCTTCCCTGATGTTACATAGCACACAATGGTATTATAAATTTATAACATTAGATAGTGATAGATAGATGTAAGGGATATCCAGATTAATTAACTGGATCATTAATTGGGGTTAAAGACAAAATAGTATTGTAAAAACTAAAACATAATTGCGAGATTTTTTCAAGCAAAAGTAATTTCAGTTTTTCAACTCCAAAAATGTTCATCTAATCTGCCCACCTACGTCACATTAACTTTACTTTTAGAAAGAGTAATTTGGTCACATGCTAGAGGAATTTTGTGTTATTTTGTGTTACTATGTGTTACGACCATAGAAAGAAAGACAGATTTCAGAACTGTTACCTCGTCTGGATACTCCATTAATAACATGGCCAGTGTGTAGGAGGGAGAGAAAATACCGACTAAAGCTTTGTGTTCGCTACCTCTTGCCTGTTTCAACAATAAACATGAGAAAAGCAGTTATTGTTATCAGGGTGTTCAAAAGACAAAGCAGCAGAAACTTCCCAAAAGCTCAATGAAAAACTACATTCATGTCATTTGTCTTTATGCATTCTCTCTGATAATCGACTGTCTAGACAGATTTTACATAACATCTACCACATATTGTGATGACATTGTCTTAATATTGTCAACATTTTTGCTATCATACTACTACTATCGTACAACAAGTATAAAATCATGGGCAAACAAACGAGTGTCTAGCTCTATAAATAATGTACTCCAGCAAACTCAAACAATTATATTACATAGCAAGTACAACCTGGGAAAGCGTAGTTTGTTTACACTGTTCTGCAAAAAAGCTGAACATAACAAAACAAAATGACTAATTAAGAAATCAAGATCTGGGATGTCCCTGCACCGGATCTGCTCCATCTCTCCCTGCTTTCTCTATCAGTCTTCCCAGTGGAATAGGGTGGAATTTCCTGAGAGAACTAGAGATGACTTTACCATATATTTGGCATCAGTAACATAGAAAAAGCAAGGGGAATGAAAGCACAAAACAACAATATCAGATGGTGACCTCACTTGACCTTACAGAGCCACCAGTGACAATATTGTAGTATTTAAAGCTGCATTGTGCAACTTTTCTGGTGGATGGCCTGCCACCTGCTTGTCTTCATGAAGAGGTTATTGCTTTGACTAGAATGTTCCACGGTAGAGATTAAACTGGTCTATCTCAAGGGAGACAACTACAGGCAACATTACAGGTCCGATCTGTGGAGATGCAACTTTATTCACAGAGAGAATTATTGTATTTTTGAGCAATGTAAAGACACTCCTCCACCAGAAAAGTTAAGCACTGCACCTTTAAGTAGATGATACAGATGTCAGCACTGAAGCACAAAGTATATATTTGGAGTTCAGTCCTTTTAATATTGTTTCTAACATGGTGAATAAATATTGTAAACTGTTCAATATTGATAAAATTGCATTAATTGGGTAAAAAGAAAAGATATTTTTGGTGTATAGAGCACATGATTGTGTCAACATGTGTCTCGTCACATCTCATTGAATATTCAGTTATCTTAATGTTAAACCAGTGAAGATTAAGCTCAATAAAACATGACTTTCATTCAAAATAGTTTATATAGTACTGTGTAAGAAAAATGTGTTAACTAGCAGTGTATAATTTTTGTCCACTGCTCTTTTTGTTTACTCGTTGAAAATGGATGGATGGTTTTAGCTAATGCATCTCAATAAACCTTTTGCATTATGGTCAGAAAAATGGCAGATTTTTTTTTTTTAAAGATTGGGAAAATTGTAATGAATGCTAATGAATTTTTTTTTTTATTTCAAAACATCATCCTGGAATATTTGTCATTTTGGAGAAGAGACATTTTGTTTTATTTTTGTATGTGCTCATTTTCAATTATGTAACAAGAGGATGGAAACAGTGGAAAGATACCAGAGAACTGAAATAAGCAAAATCAACACGATTTTGTAACACTGAATGAATTTGAACCTTGGTCCAGGCACTTGATTTGTCAGATGTGTTTCTTCTATGTGTCTATCATTTCACAGAAGCCTACCTTGCATCTGTCAAGTTGTGTTGTCAAATATATTTTTAACACCTCTTCTCTACTATAATGACTTGGATTGCTCTCATTTGCGTGAAGTTGCCAGGGAAACCAGCACAGACTCCAGACCCTGCAGATGCGGAGCACAGACTGACTGGTGGAGAGTACAAGTAGGGCAATGGAGGATTTTTATACTCCAGTTAACCCACTACGCTACAGCAATGTTCAGATTTCTGCTCTATTTTTCAGCATGTGAGTTGTAGAAATGTCTCATATCCGTCAGGCAGAATTACCCTTTAGCTGTGATGGGCCTAGCAACAGTATAGCCATTGGAGGGATTTAATTGTCCATGCAAATTTATTAGAGCTTGCCATGATAGAGAAAGGACAGAGTTTAACCATCCACGACCTAAAGCAGTCATCAAATTCAGAAGTGGGTTATCAGATACTTGAAAGACTCTGAAGCGTTCACATCCAAAATATTTAAAAAGCAGTTATCTTGCTTTAAAACATTAGGTTTTACATGGGACAGTAAAATGAGTAAGCAATAAAATCATATTGTGTATGACAAGTCAAGTGTTATAGTGTACTTTTAAAAATGGTAAGTAAGTCCCATAGATGTCCATGTAAACTGTTAGTGCCTCTATTGGGAATTAGTGTCTCTACTGTTAGAGTAACATATAAGCCAATTGCTGTATTACTGACTACAGAAGTGGGATAGCTAGTCGTGATCAATTAGGACAAACAGTAAGCGTGTACGTCTCATCAAGTTACATTTTAAATGTATGTGACAGTCTTAGGCCACCTCTTAATTGAAGCAGCCTAGTATACGTTTTGAGATCATGTAGCTCAGTATTCCATGTTTAACCAGGGTTTTATAATATTATTATAGCGGTGGAATACATGTGATGTGAAAGTGAGTTGGGTGGCAGCTGCTGTGAACACGCCCATACGTGTGTAATGCTATATGAATGCCACGCCTAGCTTGTGTCAGCTCAGCACGCTTGGCCTCTAAGCTGCAGCAGTAAAAACGCAAATATTCTGGTGGCTGAAAGGGCGCTGTGAACCGGTACGTGCTGCTCCCGGCGAACGTGCGCATCCAGGCCGCGAAAACGTAGCCCCAAGGCCTGAAGCGCTCCTCCAGTACAGAGATAATATAAACCTGGAGTGTGCATGGGCACAAACCAATGTGCAGCGTCTCAAAACATGAAAGCCTTTTATCTTACGTCGTTTCGGGGTGACCCCCCACCTCTTTCTCTGCATAGGCTCCACATCAGCCTCTAACGGGATAAATTGGCTTCTGTTGCAGCGGATGCTAATTAAATGCTTAGCGCGTTGTTTCACACACACACAAAGATTACAAAAGGGCCATTTATCACACAAAATTTACGTCCCCATACATAGAAAGACGACCTGAGACAGACGCAAGCAAGGGTGAATGTACTAGGCTAGAGATGCGTTGAGGTGAGCGGAGTGAGCTACTTACAGTGCGGACCCAGGAGGTTCCAGGCAAAAAGCCGCAGTCAACAGCTGGAAATCCGAAGTGGAGCGACGGGAACGTAAATCCCACCCCGAAAAAGGCCACGCTGTGTCGGGGTGCCTGTCGGTTCAGTCCCGGTCACGACCGAGTCCCCTCTCCTTGGATCCCAGTTTTCCCCGATTTCCCTTACTGCCACAGCCACACTGAATCCCAACCCTGCTCTCCACCGCGTCAAGTCCGCCAGGAGCCACTGGCGGCACTTCCGGAGGGAGTTTCACAAGAAAAACGCGTCCTAGATGCGTGGATATTAGCATTTGACCAGTTTTAAGAACAATATAAAAAATGAATAAAACAATAAATAAATACATACATTAATACATTTCCCAATCGTGCTTATTTTAAAATGAAATAGTTTAACTAACACAGTCGACGACCTAAATAGTTAAGACTGCATAAGTCAATAGAAAAGCAGTTGAGTATCAAGCCCCATTTATATTCAGCTACATCTGGTCTGTGTTTTTCCTCTTATATCTATGCCACACTGACTTGTGCATGCAGATCTTTCATCAGTGACTACACATGGACAATTAAATAGGCTACTATGTCATAGCCTAATCTACGTCAAGGTATTCTAGCGAATTAAGATATTACCACCACAGTGGCCGTGATCTTATTTTGAAATATAGCCAATCCTGCATCCTAGCTGTCGGATCCCAAAAACCCACGAGTGCGCGCATGTATGCCTTTGCGCGTTCACGCTTCCTTGTTTCCTGTCCAGCCCAACCCAGAATCAATTTTAGCCAATCAGAAGATCTGAGTTTTAATTTCTATTCTATTCTGTTCCACTCTATTAATTTCTTTTCTACTCTCTTCTTTTCTTTTCCATTCATTTTTTTTTCTTCTGCAATTTCAAAAACGCCTAGCCTGTATCTTGGTAAAATACTGCTAACGAATCAGCTATACTGCGTAGCCTACATCCTGTTTTGATTTTTTAACCATCCAGGATGTAAAATGGTGCATAAAACAACCAATGGAAACAAAACACAAAGCACGGGAAGACAAGAAAGCGTTTCTTTGTCAACTGCTGCCCCCTGTCGGTGTCTAAACAGTTTAATTCAATTTTGACAAAAAAAAAAAAAAAAAAAAAAAAAAGTGAAAACCATTGGCCATTGTTGTGAATATTGTGAATTCATGTGTGTCTGTTTGAATAACATGTAAACATTGTTTCATAATTTGACAAAAAGACCAAAACAGTCAAATAATCTGATTCTTCTTTTGGCAGTGCTAAAATGTGCCTTGAAGAGCAGTGAACTGAACCTCACTCACCCTCCCTCTCTCCCTCCTCTGTGTCTTGTGAATCATCTGCAGGGTCTTTCCACGTTGTGAATCTAAGCCTTTGTAAAGGACATTAACACCAGCTTCCGATTTGTTCACAGTAATGCTTGGTCTAGGAGGTGTCATTGTCTCAAGTCTGTGCAGATGTGTTATGCAGATGCACATCTTAATACTGGTACAGTGTTGCAGCGCCTGGTCATAGCACAAAATTTCACAACAGCCTACATTAAAGGGCCCATTTTCTGATATGTTATAAGGTTGTTTCTGTCTCTGTCCCACCTTGTGATGCCATGTTGTAATACAAGTGTTCCACTGTGTTTTTAAACTTCATATGTATTCCCTAGAATCATTTAGATTTACTGAGTAAAAGGTAAAGGTAGCTGTTAACTCAAAACTCAAAAACTATCGCTTCATGGTATAATAAAGTGGAACAAAGTATTATGAGCTTTGAGATGTAGGCAGACTAACAATAAAGGGTTCCTGAAACATGTGTGAATTAAATAAAACACAACTCCAGATATGTTTTTGAGAAGCTAACAACATTATAATATGGCTTAAAGTTCACAAGACTCAGTTTAGAACTGGTTAAAAGATGTCTAATCTGCTGTAAACCCAGACACTATTTAAAATGACTAGAAGTGAGAAGTTTATCACAGAGACAAAAGTATTTCCATCAAACCAAGTTCTGGCATAAGCCCCTCAAAGGAGAAAAAAACCCAAACAAAACATTGGCTCATTAAATAAATATTCTGCACAACATACAATTAAAAGAAACACTCATATCTACTGAGTTTTTTTCCTGAGTCCTGGTCTTGAAGTGGCCCTGTGTATTTTTTCTGATGGATAAGCCACCTGTTTGTTTGGACATCTTATTTCATTGCAGTTTACTCACTCAAAAATCCCTTGAAAAACATACATTCTTACTGTGAGGAAGTTTTCTCCACCTATCTGAAATATAACTTGGCCTGGTGGTGCCATATCCTTGGAATATTTAGTACAAGCATCTTTATAACCTTAATAAGACAAGTTACAGTGCATCTTTGAAAATGAGCACTACCAATACAGGTCTTTCTAGTGTTTAACATGGGCCTTCGTTAACTTTTTTATTGACTGATTTGATATATTGTCATTAAATGACAATGTATGAATATATATATTTAAAAAAAAAAGTGTTTCTCACCTTCCACGGTGGTTGGTCTCTCTCACCCTCATCCAGCTCAGGTCCTCTACCAGAGGCCTGGGAGCCTTAGAGTTCTGCGCAGCATCTTTGCTCTTCCCAGTATTCTTTTCTTATGTAACAAAGGGCGCTATATCAGGTGCCTGGTGTGAATTTGCTTTGTTTGTTTGTTTTGTTTTTAAACTATTGCAAATTGCAACTCTAACACCTAAATACTGCCCAAACTTACCAAAGACCATAGACCAAAGACACAAAGGACAAAACTCACAGGAAAAATACGCAGAAATCATAATATGAATACATTTCATGGACAGAAGCACTACAATGTAAAATACAATGCTAAAGACATCTGTAGTGAAAACCTGTGTGAACCAAGTTTTCATTAAAAAGCACCATTTTGAAAATTTTTTCATTTTGTTCCCTAAATGATTGTGTAATATTGTGTATTGAGTGCTTTGTTCACAAAGTTTAGTTTTCCATTCTGAATTGTTTTGTGTATTGTGTGAATAGTTTTGCAAAGAGATTTATAAAAAAGCTTCTGAAAATGTGCCAAAGCAACTAAAAAACTGTAAATCAAGTGACTTCAATGTGATTTTGCCAACAGAACAATGCTTACTAATACTGTGCCAATATATATGGAATGAAATATATGATTGTGGAATTCCTTGAGTACACTACTTCTCAACAATATCTTATCCGTTTAACACTTTCCATTTCAAAATTTGAATTTCCTTTCTCAGTCCTCCTTACCTACTTAAGAGCTTTAAGTCAGTGTAAAGCAGATTTTTACCAGCAGAGGGTGACAAATACTGGTTAAAGTCTGTAGCAGCTATGAGGCAAACGTAGGTTACAGGGTCACAGTGTTAAAAGCTAAATATAAATAATACTAGGCATATTACACCATGCACAACAGACCAAACAACACATTTATGATTTCATTTAAGTTTCTTTACTTGATACTATTGTCAGCTTTGAGTGGCAGCTGTATTCCTGCCAAGTTGGTTTGTCTTCTTATCTAGTGTAAAGCATGGTATAGTGTCAATATGACACATTTGAAGAGTAAGTGATTATAGATAAAATGAAGAACACATCATCGCACTAGTTCAAATTGTGGTCTTTGAGGTCACTATTCTCATTCTTATTATGTCACGTCTCAAAGCACTTTCATTAAAGAGGCATGCCACTTTTCCAGTGGAGTAACAGCCTCGATGATATTCTTTTTCCTGGTATGTCCTACAGAGTATAGCATTAAACTATCTTGCATTCATTCTATTATGGGTGATTACATGTGATCACCAGGGGTTGCCTTTCCACAGAAAATTAGAACTTCCTATCACACTATGTGATCGTGTGAGACAGTGTGAATTTCCACTGTGGCTCATCAGGGTCTAGTTCACTTCCTATCTAAAGATGCTCATGGAGCTTCTACCACCGTACTCTCCTTTCCTCAATCCAATTGAGTTTTTTTTTTTCTACTTAGAGGTGAAGAGTGTATGAACATCATGCTCCAGACCAGAGGTCTTTGACTCCGTGGAATGGATGCTGCAATCGAGGACATCACAGGGGAGAGGATGGTTAACAGATTTGTGCTGACGACATCTTCGCAGTAGTCAGAGGGAGGGTGACGACTGCGACCAGTGAAAGTGTTACTGTAGAAACCTTATTTGCTTTATTTACAGCACTGTAGGCTAGATATAGTTTTTCTTTTGTTTGTGTTTATGTTTCGTACATGTACAGAATACTGTATACATTTTCCTTTTATGTACTCTAATGTATGGAAGTTACTTTATGTGTGTGAATATAATGGTTAGAGTTTTGTTGGCAGTGTGAGAGCAGTGTGTGTGTGATGTCAAACTTTGGAGGCTGCTCTTACTGTGAAATCCTTTTTTGCAGTTTCATCCATAATTGTATTGTATTAGTTAGACTGCTGCCATAGTGACAAAACATCTAAGCATTCTGACCTGCAGTGCTGACACAAGGCCAAAGGTACGATGCATTTTGGGGACAATGACTATTTCTATGAGAAAGAAGTTTAGTTTTGACACATGGATAAACTGTTTTGGGAGAGATATGAGCTTTTGCAGGTGATCCATGGTGTTGGGCTGAACCATCCAGGTTATTTTGGCAAAAGCACTAAGTGAATGCAAATGAGCCAAAGCAACTGAGATGGATCTTTGCAATTTTTATGGTACTGATTCTTGATATGAGAAAGAAATCTAGTTTTGAAGCATGTGTGAAGAGTTTTGGGAGAGATATGAGCTTTTGCTAGTGAGCTGTAATGTTGTGCAGAACTGTCAGACTGGACAAATTATCTTATAGGTTTAAGAGTGCTGTTTCAAGAAACGGGCCAAACCAATGGAGAAAAACTGTAATTCAACTTCCCCAAACCAGGGGAGAGCAACTCTGGTTCAGGCTGGGAGTTGGAATGAGGAGTGGTGTCAGGTGCCATTATGATCTCGCTATCCCCAGATAGAACCAGCGCGTGGAAGACGCCGTCAGTCTGACTTCCCGGATTGGATCTGTGCTGGATGCTTGGACCTTGGAACCAGATGTGCGCAATGGTGGGACAGAGCTGGTCCACTGCACACTGGTCTTGCTCCTCCCGTTTGGAATCAGCAGGATGGAGAAGGAGCCACCTGATGAACCCACTCAGAGAATCGAACTCCCAAGGTCCATACAGACCAAAGAGACACCACCCTATGGTGCTTCTACCGTCTTTACCGCTGTTGATTACCCAGTGCTTCTCCTCCGGCTGTTTTATATTTAAAGCAGTGGCA